GTGAGAGAGTCCCCCAGGGCTCCGAGCACCTTGATGTCAGCCAGCTTCAGCCTGTGAACTGAGAATGCAAGAGGCAGTGAGTGGAAGCTCGGGGTTCCCACTCCCCTCAAAATAAATGAAGATCTTCCAGGAAAACCGAAAGTCCGTTTAGACAGCAATTCCTCTTGGACAAACATTAAAATGCTGCCCTTACCCAGCTCAGCAGTAGCAGCCTAGAGCCTGCTGGCCAGTCTCTACCCTGGGCACCTGGAAGGCGGAGAAGCTCAGAGGTGAGTCTGCAGGTGGCTGCTGATGCCACAAGGTGAGCAGTTCCCCTCAGGGCAGGAAATAGCCCCAGGCAATGGGATCAGGGGGTAAGGAAGGAATATTGGTGGAGATGCAGCCAATACTTAATCTATTCTAGGATCTGCTGATATCTGGGATAAAATATATCATCCTGTTTTTAAAATCAATAAAATTCACATAACATGAAATTAACCATTTTTAAAGTCAACACTTCAGTGGCATTTAGTATATTTGCAGTGCTGCACAGCCATGACCTCTGTCTAGCTCCAAAACATTCTCACTGACCTCAGAGGAGACCCATACCCATTAAGCAGTCCCTCCCCACTCCCCCCAGCCCTGATAACCAGTAATCTGCTTTCTGTCTATAAGTTTACCTATTCCAGATATTTCCTATATATGCAATCACACAACATGGGAACTTTTGTGTCTGGCTTCTTCCACTTTGCATGTTTTCAGGGTTCACCCATGTTGCGGCACCGGCCATATTTCATTCCTTTTTATGGCAGAATAATATTCTGCTGTATGGCCATACCAATTTTGTTTATCCATTCATCTGCTGATGGACATTTGGATTATTTCCATCTTTTGCTACTGTGAGTAGTGCTATGAACATTCCTGTACAAGTATGTATTCAAATGCCTGTTTCCAGTTATTTTGTGTATGTGCTGACTGAGTAGAATTGGTGGGTCATATGATGGATAAACTTATGTTTAACTTTCTGAGGAACCATCAAAGTGTTTTCCCAGCCTGCCTCTGTTTGGTCATCTCTGTAGTTTAAGCACCTACCACACAGCTGTTTACTCATATGACAAACGTATTGGCCACCGAACAGTGGCTGCATGCTCTGAGGTCTACACAGTGATCAGAGATGGTGAGTGCCCTCAAGAAGCTCACAGGCTAAGGAGGAAATGAGAAACACCCATAGGCTTAATAACTCAGGCATATAAACACTATGAGGGGGATAAGCCGATGGGAGGTTCTGGAGCTGGAGGATTTACCCCTGGGGTGGGGGGACGGTGTGGTGGGTGGTTCAGAGCAGTCTTCATGGAGAAGGTCATCTGAACTCAGTATGTGGTGAAATAAGAATGAGGGAGAACAAGCATGGTGACAGAGAGAAAAGCATAGGGCAGATGCAGTGGGGCGAAGTGTCTGATGTCTGTGAAGATTACATACTTGTATAGTTTGGCTTAAGTGAAGGATCAAAGAGGGACAAACAAACAAAAAATAATGTTGGAAAGGTAGGTTAGGGCCACAGGCCTGGCTAACAGTGTAGGACGGCAACATGAATATTGCTATACACAAACAACTGCTTGCATACATATGTCTGTAGTCTATCCACCCCATCACCCTGTACACACATGACATGGATTCAGGTGCATTTTTAGGACAACACCTAAAATCCCTTATGCCAAATGTAGCTCTGTCCCTTCAAAACACAGGCTTGCCTCCCAGCCCCCTAATATCTCCCACCCCCGCCAGAGCACCTTGCTCCCAGAGCCACCCCAACTTTGCCACAGTGTCGTCTTCCCTTCAGGTGTGCCTTCCACTGTCCTCAGTCGTGCCATGTGGCACTACATTGTCAAAAGCTTTTACGCCTTGGAAGAGGTCTAAGATAGTTTATGCCAGGGGGTGGCCCACTACTCCAGGGGCGAAGAAGCCCACCATCTCCGTGGGCCATTGTTTATGTTGAATCAAGGGAAACTTGTCTGCAAGGACGCTTTCTTGACAATCCTTCTCTGCCAAGTCACTCACTAAAACATGCAGTGAAACAGAAAGAACAAGATGCTTTCAACCCAGTTGGACTATTTATAGTTCACCTCACCCGTCAACATCCGAGTCGTGGTCCTTCCTGTGTGGGGAGCCTGTTCCTCCACAGAGGGAGCACTGCCCAGAGGGATCTCTAGGTCCTGGCTCCTTCCATGGAGATATCTTGTCTACCTGACTTCCATGCTCTCTGCAGATGCAGAACCACCATTCTCACTGAGGATTTGCTCTCATTGGAAAAGTAAAAGTCCCTGCCCCTTCTTATGATAGCATGCGAGCGAAGACATTCATAGTTGTGAATGTGTGCATGCAAAATGCATAGATTAGTAGTCCTCCAATTTGGGCATGCATCAGGATCATTTGGAGAGCTTGATAAAACACAGATGGTTGGCCCCCACCCTCAGAGTTTCTGCTTTAGTAGGTCTGGGGTGGGCCCAAGGATATGTGGTTAGAACAATAGCAAATCACAAAGCCAGCTGCACACATTAGCACACATCCACAGGGCTGCGCCTGAGAACTTAAAAATGACCTCTTCTCCAAGAAATCAGGCTATGAGTAAAAAAAGCAACAAAACAGAAAATAAGACCTCCTCCCCTCAACTCTAGAGGGTTTATTTTAGCTCCTGGTGATGACAGCCAATCACCACATTTTTGTTACCATAATGTGTAATACAGTGAGTTCTATGAACACTTGCCTTGGTACAAAGGGTAGAGAGAATCTTTGGGGCCAGTAAGATGTGGATGAGATGGATAGATTTGCTTCAAAAGAACATTACAGTTTGTAAAGAGGCAGTTGAAACTGGCCATTCCTGTCTCCTAAATTTGTAGCAGACAGAAAGGAAAACACAGATATACATGCATGCATGCACGTCTACATCCGTGTGTGTGTGTATATGTGATGGTAGATTGATTTGGGGTGGGGTTGAGGTTCCCTTATCGGTCATCCTGAAGGATTCCCTGCAAGAGATGATAAACCAAGTGAGCCAAGCCTGCATGGGAGGCGTTTGACTCATCTGGGATTGTATTAAAACAGAGCCCATTGGTTTAATATTGCATAGACCTTGATTTGAGCTTTGTTAATATCAGCACATATGACAAAGACACAGCCTGGAAACACAGCAAAGCACTTTAGCAATTGCTCTCCTTGGAGAAAGAACTATTTAGAGATAAGATTAAATTTATGTGAGCTGATTAGCTAAACTTTATCTGGTACAAACTGTCCACTACTTTGAAAGAGGTTGATAATTACATCATTAACTCATTAAGATTTCTACAGAGGGGCCTCTTATCGGAAGGCCACCCAAATTATGGTGAAATATCACGAACAGTCAGAAAATGTAGACTATAGAATGGGGAGCTGCCCATTGTGCATGAAAAGTAACACACAGGAAGCAGACTTGACATCTTAGAGCTTGTCTCAAGTAACTCAATGATGTAAACCACCTGTGGCCGTGATCTGAAAGGCCAACTTTCTCTCAGTTGCCGATTAGGGCTGCCCACTCGGTTTGCTCTCTGATTTTAGGAACTTATGTAAAGACATTTGCAGTGGTGGTAAACTGCTGGCACAAGGTTGGAACCTGGTGTCTGCCTTTGAAGTGCTTCAGTGTGTTTACGTGAAGAAATTCATGCCTTGCACATAGTAGGAATTCAAGAAATGTGCAATGTTGAGTTAAAGGCTAAGTAAGAGGCTCTGTATCAGACACTTTACAGCTCTCAAGCTTTAAGGATGGAAACTTTGGGGAGGGGAGTTCTCATTTATCCAAGCGCCTTGGGGTGAGTTTGAACTTAGTAGGCTGGCCCTGCCTAGGGACAAGCAGGCTGTTACTCCTTGTAGGGTGTATTTCCTAGTCACAGGCTCATTAAGTCACAAGATGCAGAAGCAGGTGGTAACTATAGAAAGAGCATCAGGTTCTACACTGGACATGGCGCTGTCGGCTCACGCTGACATGAAACCCTGGTAATCACCCAGTGCTACAATTTGTCCATTTTTTTATACTAGCTTTTGAATAGCTCATTTTAGTCAAATGGGTAAAATAAATGACATCAGGGACTAAGAAAGGAATCGATGGTTTAAAATAAATGAATGAACTGCTCTGATTCATACTGTTGGTGACAGTGGCATATAATTAGCTTTGTGGACCCTTATTTTCAAATACTATCAATTTTTCCCTCTGCATAGAATTAGCAGCGGGACTTCAAGACAGCCAGCTTGAGGAGACAGCCAATAGCCGTGTTCCCTCTGGCTCCTTATTGCTACTTTCTTGTTTGCAAAATGCTACTCCTTTCTTCACTGGGGAAACCTTAAGTCAGCTACCTGGCCCCATGTATTTTTCTTAGTTTTCCCATCTATGTTCAGGATAGGGCCAGGGAGTAATAATATAAAATGAGGCAAGTATTTATGAAGTTATAAAGCCCATAGGAGATAGTACTCAGGAAACTTCACTTACACACTCACTGACCAGGGAGAAAAAACTGGAAACTTTTCTTTATTTACCTGCCAAATGCTAACTGGTTATAAAAAGTTACTTCCATTGACTCTATATATCTCACCCCAAAGCCCCGTAGACAAATGTCAGAGGCACATCACCTGTGGGCTACAGATGGAATGGGAGTGACACAGGCTGCCAGGGGCCATGGTCTGTGGATGAAGGCAGGGCTACTGCAAACATCACTTTTGGTTAGCGAGGTGTATCTGTGCATTGGCATGAGAGAAGCACTAGAAAAGGAGACTACCACAAAGGTTTTGAAAATAACTCTGAAGGCAAAGCAGTTCTTTTATAAGATAGTCTTTGTGAAAAATTGTTTTAACGGAAGGCACATTGGTCTCGTTGATCTAGGTCTTTTTCAAGCCTGGGAATTGTTGATTTGCTGAATTGGAAATACTCCATAACTAAGATTAGTTCCACAGACACTTACTGGGCTCCTGCCTTGTGTTATTCACTGGGGGTATAAAGATAAAATGACCTGTTATTATAAGTACTGTTAAAAACAAAACAAAACAAAACAAACCACAGGCCCAAAGATGGAATCACTCCTGTTCATGGTCCTACATCAGCAAAATAAGACTTAATACCTAACTGTAGTTTCAGTGTCCCCCAGCAAGTAACCTTTAACCAGTCAACATGGAATTCCCTGGTCAGCACTCGGAAATTTAGACCCCTTCCATACCCCTTAAGAGGGCAACCCGGCCTAAAACAGTAGGTTCTCTTTAATAATTTCCTTTATTCCATTCCCTTTCTATCTTTAAAAACCTTTCTTTTTCTGCAGCTCAACAGAGCTCCCTTCTAACTTGCTGAGTGGAGTGCTGCCCAATTCCTATTATTGATTAACAGAGCCAATTAGATCTTTCAAATTTACTTGGTTGAATTTTTGTTATTCAACAGTATGCCTCAGATGCCTTCATCTCAATGGGAAATTGCAAACATGACCTCCGGAAGAGTGAAGGATCTCACAAGCAATACAACACTTATCAAGGGAAAATAGTAACACGGCCCTGTACTGAGTCCTGTTGCCTGCCCCAGTAGTCACGAGTATGGTTAAGATATCCAACTTAGATCATGCCCAGGAATGTTTTTCATGATCCAGTGAGCTGTGGCTATTTTCCTAAATGGCGCTTTTCAGGTGGGACTCAAGAGTGCAGGCCCAGCATTCATCTGCGCTGCCACCCCGTTGGAGAGAGTGAGAGTGTGGTTCCATGGGTGCTAGGCTAGGTCAAGGAGGCCTAATCTATCCATCTGCTTACTCAGACGGCTCCTATCACCAAGTATGTCAGATGTCAGGGTCTTGAGATTTCCTTGTGCTTACATCTTCTCGTGCCAATACACACAATAATCCTCAGGGTCAGGGAGTAAAGAAGAGGTTCACATTTTATCTGGTTTTTAGATGTTGAGATATGCTCTAATGGATTGCTCGGTTATCATTGTCATGATAGGAACATAATCTAGAGAGATTGCAAAATGCCTTATAAATCATCTTTTCAGAATGATAAGATTAAAAAGGGAATGGAGATCATTTTACTTTCAAATTCTCCCTCTCCCTTTCTGTACATCCATACCTATGTGTATACAAATACACATATATCTTTGAGTTTTTGCTGTAGGAGTGCCTATAAGTGAAGCTAGTAATTTGTTTCTGCTGCTAAAGTTCTGCTAGGAAACCAACCAATAGAAATGAGTTGTCACCAAGTACTTAGTCTAAAGACTAAATGTGTATTTGCAGGTGTATGTGTGCACATGATGTGTGATATCTTTATCACCTATTCCATTATTCTTCACCTTAGAACAAGAACCAGTTGTATACCAAGGTTTTGGTAAGAGGATTTTTAACTTACTTGCTGGTCATTTGGCTTAATTTGAGTGTGTAAAACTAGGACATGCATGAAGGACAGGTTGACACTTTTTCTACTAACACTCAACAACAGGAAACAACCCAAGTGCAAAGAGTTCCATCCTGAGAGATTCCTGCTAGGCACTATTACATCCTCAAACTTAATTTTCTATTCTTGGAAGACACATAGGAGGCATTCAACAATCATCTAATAAACGAATGAATGAGTGAAAAAAAAAATCAATGAACAAATGAGTCACCCTCCAGGACCAGCCATGGGAACCTAGTGTGCTGTTGCAGAAATGCTCCTGGGCTGTTTTAAGTTGTGAGGGTCATCAGATGACCCTTCCATGGCCACATACACACAGCCATCACCCCCAGGCTGGCTCATCTGGACGAAAAGGTTCAGCCCTTAGGCAGCCCCTTTTGGGGAAGGTCTCTGCCTCAAATATTCCACAAATCTCATTTTTATGGCCCAGCAACAGTCATTCTGGAAATACTGAGAAGCAGTAAAAATAACACATTTATAAGAGTGCATGCTTTCCTCCTCTGTAGTGTCTGTGCACTTCCTGCATAAGGCACTGACACGGAGCAGGGACTGGTTAGTTTTGCATCCTGCTTAGAGGTAGTTTTGTTTTTGGAGAACAAATTTACCTCAGCAAAGCTTAAAGGGAGGGACAGTGACATCAGCTCCCTCAGCTAATACTGTGCACTCTGCAGAATATGCCCTGGCACACAGCTAATGCTCAATAAATGCTTTCTGATAATGAATGGCTTTATCATATTTTAGTTACAGAATAATCCAACACAGGCATGAATTTACAAATACACCTCTAGAGCTATTTCTATTTGAAAAACCTCCCAGGTGAATCTCAGGTTGTGGGAAAGCCCATGTGATCTTACCATTGCTCTTATTTTGATATTTCAGGCCTTCAAGGAGTTTAAAAATCACTTGTCAAGCCACGTACCTGAGGTGGGAACCGTGTCAGAGGGATCCTTGTCAGGGCACCTGACTTCCACTCCATCCCTAGCCTGAAATGAGACAGGGACGTGAGGAGAAATGGATCTTGCAACAGAGGAAATTGGGTGAGACATGGGGCCTCTATTGTGATAGAATCCTAAGTATCTTTTACGATTTACCCCTCTCCTTCAACACTCATATCCAAGTGTCTGCAACATCCTTTCCAAATGCCTCCAATCTCATCCCGTCTACTCAGCCTCACCCAGGCCTCTGTTCCTCCTCGCCTGAAATACTGCCGGAGTCACAGCGTCGGTGCCTCAGGTCCTGTGGGCCTCCCCCACAGTGGGTACATAACAGGAGTCAGTAAATGTATCCTCAGGAAAGTACTGCTCCCACTTATCAGATGACAGATAATAATAGCAACACTTATATGGAAATTGTGGCATGCCAGATACTAATGCACATGCTTTATATTTACTAATTGATTGCAATTTAATAACTGTGAGACAAGACTGTGTTTATCACCATTTCCCAGATTTAAAAAAAACAAGGCACAGAGAGGGTAAGTACCTTGCGCACTGACACAGAGCCAGTGGGTGGAAGAGTCTGCATTTGAACTCAGAGCCAGCTCTCACCTTAAGGGGCCATGCTGCTTCTCAGGTGTGCTCATTGCTGAGACATTACTTAGAAAGTGTGGGACATGTTGGTGGAGCAAGAATCTGTCACACTGCATCTCTCAGGTTTTGCAGCAGGGGCTAAGGCCCTCCACTCTGCCTCCACCACCTGGAGGAAATCTCACCCTCTCTTATGCAATAGGGAGGCAGGGATGGCATGAGGACCAAGTTGGCCTCAACCCATATTGGTGCTCCAGTCCTCTGAGAACAAGGACATCAACTATTAAGTGCTCCTTGGTTCCTCAGAGGAATGCAGGGCACTATCTAATCCTGATAGCAAGCATCAGAGAAACACTCCTGAGATGAACGTAGTGCAAATGCCTCCAATCTCTTCCCTGCAGGTGGGGGCCAACTTCTGAGGCCCCCCAGTTGACCTGCTGCCAGGTTTCCGACTTCACCACATTGCTCTGCCTGTCCTTAACTTTCTTTTCAGATTAAGAGCTCAGATGAGTTTAAAAGGACTTGTCAAAATTTGGGGAAGGCCTGAAGAATCTTGTCTTTCATCAAAAATATGGGGGGGCAGGCAGTGCTGAGAACATCAAAGCACCAGTGAAGCCACAGGATGCAGGTTGCCAAGGCCATTCTAGAGGCAGAGGCCAAAGGGACAGCCACACACTTGATCCTTCACCCTTCCCAGGCCTGCCCAGGGGGCTCCAGGACATAAAAAACCACGTGGAAGATTCCAAAGACTCAGGAAGGGGTCCACCCTGGGTTCATGCACCTGTTTATCAATACCTCTCCATGCATACCTCAAGCTTCTCGTGGGGTTTTGGCAACCTGAGCAGGTAATTGCTGTTCCTGTAGGTGAACAGATAGGGTTTCTCCTGCAGAGAAAGGCAATGCATTATAACCATAACCCAGAAATCTGTGTCCTTTGATCATCAGGGTTTATCCTGCAATGCCTTTGGCAAATTTGAAGTATCATACCTTCCTTTAAATGATGCAAAATCATTCTCTGGCTTTCCTTCTCCATATGCCCACTAGTTCCCTGAAGGAGCTCATTAGTACTTTGAAATTTCCCATTTGCACTAGTCAGCATCTTTTGCTCTCCACTCAAGCTTCATGCTAACAAAGTACATATATTCCCATGAAAAGAGAACTTAATTTTTTTAAAGCTTCCTGGCAGCCAAGGCAAAGAGGTAAACTGGGTGAATTGTACCATTCTTACAGCCTAGTGACAAAAACTTACCAATTCACCAAGAAAGCCAAAAATCTGACTAGCATCAAATAATAAAAGGAATGTGAACCTTAGGTGTGCTAAGTATGCAAAACTGGGCCAGGATCAGAAGAACAGCATCAAAACTCGAATGGGGCTAATGTGTCAGCCAGATAGGACTTCACAGCAAAGCCCACTTCTTTGGGACCCCATCTCTCTCCCAACTCAGCAAGAGATTCTCTCCCCTGCCCAGTCCTTGCCTACCTGAGAGGGACATTTCACCAGCCTGCTCTCTTTTGCACTAAATGGTTCACCTTTCTGTCCTGCTGGCTCCATCTAGAAAAGAAGGTGATCTTTAGGAAAGTCTTGCACAGGTAGAAGCATCCTGGGGTGCCACCAAGAAAGAGTCATTAGTCCAGCGTTTCTCGGAGTGGGACCCTGAGCTAGCAGCATCAGTGTCACCTGGGGACACATGAGAAATGCTCATTTCCAGGCCCGTCCTCCACCTACTGAGTCAGAAGCTGGGGAGTGGGGGCCAGCGCTCTGCATTTTAACAAGTCCTCCAGGGGATTCTGACGCATGCTCCAGATGAAGCCCACTGCATGAGAGGAAAATGAAGGCAGCTGAAGAATGAGATGGGGAAGGGATTTTTTTAAAGTTGATTTTTAAGTGTTCACTTATACATATGTCAACACTTAAAAATTCAGTGGCTTTGAAAGATGGCAGGTTTCCTTTACATGTGCTATTTTCTACTGTTTGGGGACCTCATGTTCACTGTCAGCCCTGCTGCCCACAGGTGCTGGGCTCCTGTGGTAACTTTGTCCTTCACCTCCCCTTCCAAGGACCTTGACAGGGGACACAAGAGCAGCAGGCTGCGGGATGGAGTGCCCTGTGCGGCTCAGGCATGGGCCCTGCCAGCCTCCGTGAGGATTTTAGATTCTTCAGCAGTATCTTATCCCGGCACGTGTGCCAAGCAGAAGCAGCGAGGAAAGAACTTTAACCCTTCTTAGGATCCGCTCTTCTCTCAAGTGGACAGACTCAGATAATAGGGCGCAATTAACCTTTTGGAGAAGGAGTGTCATCTTTTAGTTCAAAGGCTGGAGGAGCAACTGGGTCCCCACCTTCTTTCAGTTTTATTGTGACGTGGACACTCCTAGAAACGGGAGCTTGCACCCAGATTGTCCAGGGCTGTTCTGAAAGCGGGCATTCAGGGGGCCTGGGTCAGCAGCCCAGGGCCAGTCTGGCTGCCTTCTCTTCTCTGATCTTCCAAGAATGTCCTCAGTAATAAAGTCTGGAGAGAAACACTGAGAGACCCACACATCCTAATGATTCTGGTAGAATGGATATAGCAGAGCCTGCTTTTTAAAGGACCTCAAAAAAGGAAAATTCATAGGTTTTCTCAGTAAACTTCCATTAGGAACCTTGTCCTAAATGTCCCTATTAGTCAGCTACTTCCCTTACACCTGCTCTGGCCCTCTACCCTGCTCCGTCCTCAGAGTGGGAGGAGAACACACACACCCTCCTCAAATGACCCCCTCGTGGGCCCCTCCCCCTGCCACTCTGTGCTGCACGGAGGCGCGGCCTCGCAGGCCCCAGGCTGCTCTGTGTGCGCTTTCTCCACTTCCTGGTCCTTTGCTCACATGGCCTCTGCACAGCCTCTGGCCGCCCTGAAATTGTGGGGATCTGACCTTAGGCTCTCCGAGGAGAGTTCCCACTCACCCGTGACTGCTTGCTGAACAGTCCCACCTGCCTGCAGCCCCAGGACCTTATGTCACGGCCTGGCATAAGGTGGGGGTCACCGGCTGCTAGACCAATCTGGGCATTGAGATCTCCAAAGGCAGGTCTCTTCAAAACTACTGTTGTGTAAGAATTGTCAGAAGTTATTGAGGAGGAGGCAGAGAGGGCCTGGGAAAGGAATTCTGCCCCAAACAGAGCCCTCCTCTGCTCTGCAGCAGGAGCTCAGCTTTGGGCAAGGGGCTTCTTCTGCTGGGATGGTTCTGGGTGTTTCACAAGCAGGGTCGCTCACAACCACTGTGGGCAGGCCACGGTTTTCTTTCCGAGGCCCTCAGAGCTCACACATACCCCAGGGCTTGGTCAGGGGCAGCAGATGCTGCAGTGGCCCTGCACAGCTCCCACTATTGTGTACTGGGGCGTGGTGCAGGACGCAAGTGATGTAACTTAGGCCCCTGTGGTCACAGCGATTCTGCTGGCCCCTCTTGGCTCCCCATGCATGATGGTGACCCTCATTCAGGGCTCTGTGTGTCTGTGAATCTGGGCATGGCTTTTACCTCTGCGGTCTCGGTTAAGCCCATCACAGCAGGGACTCAAGGAGGTGGCGGCCGAGAGACTCCTGGCCTTGCTGTGTCCCCAAGAGGCTGAACCCTTCCAATGCTTTCCCATGGCCCTCTAACCTTTTCTAAGGTCATCATGCCCCTTTGGCAAGCAGAGAAAATGGAGGCCCAGAAAAGCCACGCAAGTCACCTCGAGAGACAACTAGAGTAACAGCTGGAAGCAGACCCTGTTCCTGGCTCCTTACCCAGTGCCCTTTGCCCCAACCTGTTATGTTCCTATTTTTCTCACGGACTAACTGGTGCCTGCAGGGGCCATCCATGTGGCCCACTCTGGGAACCATGGGATGGCCTAGCACTTGTCCCATGAGGGAGCCGGGACAGATGGCTGGGTCCCCTCCCTCCTTGCAGCCCTGCTGCAGGAACCTCGAGGACCCTCGCTGGGAAATGACTGGTGGTTGTTAGGACAGGTCTGGAGAGAGTGGGGTAACTGCCCATTCAGAAAAGCTGCCCCCTGCTCCTCTGAGCTCTGGTGACCCCTCCTGTGTCCTGCCTGTCCCCTCTGTGCCCCTGATCCTCCCATCCTCACCTTCAAGGTGGCTGTAACACACTATGTGCTGCATGCCTGTCTATACAGCATGACACTCCGCCTCAGCAAAGGCTGTTTCACTGCTGCCAGTGCCACGGTGATAATTGACAAGCAGCAGGATGGAGGAAGGGGGGCCTTTTCCCAGGATCTGCCGTCTCCAGCCTCTGGCACGCAGGGTGCCTCCCCTGTTCTTGGGGTCTCCTTATCCCCTCACTTCCTCTCCTATCAGCCCAGCATCCACTGCCCCTTGCTAATGCAATCGGGTCCTCCTTTTTGCCATGCCCTTTGCTCGCTGAGGTCCTCTTGCCTGGGAATGCCACCCTCACCTCCTCCCATACATCCCACCAAGCCAGTGCCAATCCCGTCCTGCTGGGGCTCTCCCGGTCCTTCCAACACTGGCAGCTACGTGCAAGTTTCCCCTTGTTCCTTTGGGTTACCTGACCCTTCCAGCTACGCCCTGAGCTCGGTGAGGGAAAAGGCCATTTGGTGTCTCCTGTGTCTTCCTTGGACCCAGCATAGGGCAGGGCACATTGTAGGTACCGGTTTATTGCCTGGGAGAAAGGTGATGGAGGAGGAGGAGAGAGGTCTGGCTGAGCTGGGATAAGCAGTCCCTCTCCCCCAGAGAAAGGGCAGAGGGAGGGCGGCGCCTACAGGAAGGGTCAGATTCCCGGTCTCAGCCCTTCCCTGGAGATCAGCAGCAAAGTGGTTTTCAGGGGGCAATATCCTGCCCCAGGGTCAGGGTCCTTGTTCAGAGAAGTCAAATATCTTCTCCAAAGGACAGGGATTCCATTGACACGGATCCCTCCCCTCTGTCTTACTGCTGATGCGTGCTGAGTGCAGCTGCTCATGGTGCTCAGCATAGCACATTAGTAGAGGAGGGGGAGATCAAATATAGTAATCCAGGAAGAGGGCAACCAAGTTTCTATCACTGAAATTCTAAAAATAGGACAGCCAGGATGGGAAAAAAATGCATGGCAAAATCAGGTCTCTGGTGCCCTGGACAGGTTCCAAGCTTTGACACTACATTCCATCCTCTGACTCAGCCCACGTAGCCCCGGGGGACCTCTGAGGGATGGGGAAAGCCTGTCAGTCACAGTAAGGCTGCTGAGTACTCACTACAGGCCAGGAGTGAACCTCACACCGGACATGGACTGGGTCAGGGCTTATGGTCTGGGGTTTGCAGCAAGGCAGCTGAGACCCTAAATTCACACAGCTTGTGGGAGGTGGAATTAGGATTTGATCTCAGATCTCCATCACTCTGAAGTCCATGCTTGTCCCCAGGCACCACCCTGGGCCTCTGGAACTCCCCGTCCAAGGGCATATGAGTGTTCAGTGAAGGGAGGCACCGTGGGAGCCAAGCCCTAGTGGCTGCTCCAGGTGAAAACACAGGTTCTGAGGAAACATCCCTGCTGTCAGGAGGGTGGGGGGTTCAGAGAGCCCCCTCATGGGGGGATGAGGAGGTCAGACTCCCAGGTGGTCAGAGCAGGGCTGCCACTGAGTGTGGGCAGGATCCCTGGTGGCCCAGAATCATTATCCTGGGACCCTGCTGGCATCCTACAGCCCCTCTGTCTGAGGAGAGGGTGTGGTGGTGGAGGCCCTGTCCTTCTTTCTGCTGGCCAAATGTCCAGGCTGGCACAGCAGCCTCCCGGACCCTGGGCCACTCACCATACTGTTCCAGAGGCTCAAGGCGAGGGTGGTGGGATCCTCAAGTGGCCGCTGCCTCTGAAAGAGAAGCAGATAAGAACCCCTGCATGCCTCCAAGGAGGGGGAGGCTCTGCCGTGCACTTCGGTGTCCTCCCTGCAGACAGGGTGGGCCTGACCTGTCCAGGCTCTCTCCCAGCCACAGCCCCATCAGGAGCTCAGTGTCTGGCGCCAGGGCTCAGAGGCGAGGGCCCACAGGAGCACAGTAAACATCTGGCTGCCCTCATTATCTTAGGGGTGTCCATGCTGAGTAGATCAGCAGCAGGAGCAGGTGACAGGGAAGGGGTTC